GTGACTATGTATATTTGTTCATACAATTATGTACATTTTTTATACAATTATGTACACTCTTTTTATACAATTATGTACATCCGAATCAGAAAATTTTTGTGTATTATGTTAAGAGTTGATGTGTATTATGTTAAAAGTTTATGCTTATTATGTATTATGTTAGATTATGTGTATTATCTTTTAAAAAACATTATGTATATTTTGTTATATAGTTATGTACATTCATGTATACAATTATGTACATTCATGTATAATATTATGTACATTTTTGAACATGGGTTTTTTTAAAAGAAAAATTAACTGCCAAACACTGGAGCGGGAAATTTCAAAAAAAAACAAAAAAATAAAACTACGTCATTTTGTATCTGGGCACACAATGCAACACGCGTCGTGGTGTAGGATATAAATTGCCCTTAACCTTCTTCATCTTTTAATAAGCCTAATAACAACCCTCATTCACTATTCTTGGGGCCAAACCTTTCCAAATTCCAATAAAATAGACCATGAGGTCCGATGGTCCATAAGTTATAGTGAACAACTGAACATGCACTCATATTTGATCCATCAATGAACCTACATTATTATTATACAGTTGTTATACTGTGGACTATGATCCACATTGCAAAATAGAATATTGATATACACATTTATTTTACTGTATTACAAATTCATTTTTAATAAATTCATTATATTTGATATTAATTTATTTTAGTATACTATCTAAAAATGAACATATAGTATATTAAAAATAAATTTGTATTAGTGATCCATATTATAATTTGAACCATGATTCATAGTATAATTTGTCATTATTATAATGAACCTAAACCCATAATATAATTTGCCAAAACTTCTGTAAAAAATAGGTTAATATAATAAAATAGATTAATATTCATGACTCATGAGACTGATTTTAAAAATGAACTTGGGAAAAAAAAGAGGTTTAATTTAATGTATTGCGCCTACCATTAACTCTTTATCAATGAGCCTACTTTTTCACTTTGCATAATTCATCTCTTATTCTTGCCCCTGTTGAAGAAAGAGTGTGATTTTCAGATTTTCTACTCAATTAAACACACTATATATTTAATTGGGGTTATTCTTAATAAGATTTGGGCTTCAAAGAAAACTTGGGCTTATTTCGTACCTCAAAGTCACAAATGGACCAGAACCCGCTTGGGTATAAAGCCCGAAAATTAGAAGGCTTAAGCTATCTAGAATATTCCAATTTTAGATCTTATTATAATGGGCAGTTCAATTGGTTATAGAGGTGAAATTTGGGAAGAATGACCAGGATCGAGTCAAGGGCTCCTTCTGCGCAGTAAGCAAGTGTGGAAAAATGAGTACAAGTCCTTAGGAGAGAAATAAGAGCCAATTTTAGTCTTATATTTGGAAATGCACCACCACACAGTGTTCGAAAATACACCACATAATAGTGTAAACCGCACCGACCACACGGAAAGCCCTATTCTCATTTAAACCAATATATATATATATATATATATATATATATATATATATATATACACACACACACACACACACACAAAATGTATATACAAATTAGTATATGTTTAGGTAGTTTAGTTGGTTGTTGCCTAAAACTTTCCTGATATTAATCATGTTTTGTGGTTATCCTTCTGCAATCTGCTTATACCTCTTTTCCCCACTTGTTCTTACCATGTTGGTTCCAACTTCACCATTCTGTTAAGCCTTCCAAATTCCCAATATGCTGTGATTTGACAATCCATCCTTAGCCAGCATTCTTAATGTCTCCAAAGTAAACCCTTTGTAGTAAAAAAGGTAAACAACGATAGGAATATAGGATGGTGGTGAATTTTGTTTTTCTAAAACCAGAGCTATTCAATCTTCTACAAAATGTAATCGACTTTAAGTTAATCATCCTATTTAAAAAATTACAATTGAAGACCAACTTTATTTTAGACCTATTACTACAACCGCATATGTATAATCTGATAACTTAGTTCATAAGTTCATTGTGGTCCCTCCAGACCTACTTATCCTGTCAGTTAAGCCTCAACGTCATCTCTACCCATAAAAGCATTGATTAATGACATGAAACATGGACACAGCTACATTATATTTCAATTCTCTCATTTAGATTGCAATCTTGCCTGGATTTTCTTGGAAAAAAGACATACTTTTCTCCACCCAGCAACCAACCAATATCCAATAGGGGTAATTTTAACAGTAAAGAAAGACTAAACCTACCTCCGTTAATACCTTCACTGGACTGCGACACAGTAGAAAACTCCAGCCCTGAGGTGACCCACCACATTGTCTTCTCCAAATCAACATCACTCTATTATCCCAAACAAAGGGACGGTGCATATATATATATATATATATGTCACTTCTCAAATCTACATGACTTACCGCTAATGCATGTTACGGGACTTTTGTGATTAATTAATTAGCTTAGTTAAGCTGAAGATAATATAAGCCACTAATCCATAGCTCTCAGCTCTGCAAAAAGATGATATGAATGGCATGCTGAGGAGCACCAAACTTAATTACTGCTAATTTTACGGGTTAATGGTAAAGTATGAAGGGCTCCTTTTCCGATCCGTGGTTTAAAGTATCATATCCTAGCTTGCTTAATTATTTTTTGTCTAGTTTGGAACTTGCAAGCTAGGGTCCTTCATCCTTGCCAGGGTGGCATTAGAGTTTTAGACATGTCTAACTACTTAATGCACATGCATCTCTATTGATAGGTACACCGTACACCTTTGAACCATTCCATTCCATATATTGTGCCTTGAGATAATGAACCCAGGCCAGTATACACTACCTCAACATCTATCCCTACCTAAAACACACACATAATGACAAAAGATCACCCATATTTCACTCAACAAAGTCATGCCACCAGGTACCCACCACTGATAAATGGTCAGAAATTCATGGGTGGTTCAAAAATTTTAACAACCAATTTGAAATTTTGAAAACCATTGCAACCTCGTATTAGTGTTACATATATGTACAAGTGTTAGATATAAATATACTAACATAAAACTTAAAGGAACTTAAATCACGAAAAACCAATGCAACCTCATAATAGAGGAAGCTTTAGAATGATTTGTATATCTCTTGCCATAGTGGCGATCCCGTAGGTGCCAACCTCTAGGGCCCCCACGCCCCGCCCGACAAAACATGTGAGAAGATATAAATTACAGCAACAGGGTCAAATGCCAGTGCACACAAGGGATCTGTCTACTTTGGGCATGATATGCAGTTACGCTCTGCCATTGCCGAGTTTCAAATCTTGATCTCTTTTTCCAAATACGATCTATTGAATCAGTGAGTTAAGCCCGTGCCGACATGTTATAGTGTATTGCAATTACAGTAATTGTGGGATGACAGTTTTGCTTAGAAGTCTACATGTATTACAGATAATAAGTTATATCCCGAATGAATATCTATGTTACCTAATCAGACTAAACCACTTATTGACTTAAGTCATATACTTACATCATGATCACTGTATTAATATATAATATATTATACTATATGGAAAATTCTTACGACGACAAGTACATTCCTTTTTATCCACATCAGACCATTTATTATTCAAGCTACCGGCCTATCACTGACTCGATGAAAGTCTTGTTCATGCATTGTTCAAGCTAGCAGCCTACCAATGATAGGAAGAAATTAAAGACTCCGATCCAAAGCATGGAAGTCCGCAGAGTCCATAAAGTGCAGTGTACAGTGAACTGTGAGAGCAAAAGGTTAGCATGGGTGACTGAACAACCTCATCCACACATTTACCTCGTAACAGGAAGGTTCAATTGTAGTATGGAAATGAAGGAATGTCCCTTTCAGTTACAAGGAAGACGACATTTATCGCACGATCGAAAAGAAAAGTATGCAGAAATAAAGGCAAACACAACTTGCTTTAGTCCATCAAATCGTCTCTCATATCATAGGTTAACTGTCATTAGCGAGGTTAAAAAGATGGTAATTAACTAATTAACAATACTCGTTAAGCTTTCAGTCCAGCAAGACACCACTCAAGGACAAGATGATTAGTGACGACGCTATCCGATAATCCTATCCTAAGTACTATAATAAGTAATAGAAGAAGCGCTTTTTAGCACTTTTTAGTTTTAGGAACCATGTTTTATTTAAAAATGTAATCTTTACAAATCTTTTAAAGTTTAATTACGCCTTTAGTTTGTTTCTTATGCACAAATGGTCCCACCTTCAACTAATACCATTCTTAATTATTCACCAAACCAAATTTATTATCCAAAAAGGACAAATTCTGTTGCTCCAAATCCCCCTACCCAGCCAGATAAGATGCGGAATGATTCTTTCAAAAGGCTGAACCCCAACCCTACGGACTCCCACACCTCGACTCGACAAAGTATTTGGGAGGAATGATAAATCACAATGATTTAACAGCATGATCTTAAGTGAAAGGACCAATGATTAATTAAAGTCATGAGACTAGCTACAAGGTTATAGACATTTTTGACCTACTTTGATATATGTAACAACGGCAGTACGGTCTTTCATATAACCACACTCAGTTTCGAATCATGATCTCTATTTCCAAATACTACCTATTGAATCATTGAACTAAGTCCAAACCCAACAGAAAGTTCAAATATTGATCTCTTCTCCTAAATACTGTCACTGAATCATTGAGAGTTGGTCTCTTCTCCCAAATACTGTCTACTAAAGCTGGTTGCGGAACTTTAATTATTAAGGGGAATAGAAGATGTTGGTTTTGGAGGATGATGAAGAATATTCATTAAGATAAATTGAAGTTCAACAAGCATTTAGTTTTGTTCCGTTTAGGAATTACGGCATCCTGGTCGATTAAGGAAAACTAGAAGTCTAGAATGTCACAACTCACAAGTAGTATCCATACAATGGAGGTTTAGATGGTGGCCTCATATTCACAAAGGAATTGAAATTCGTTGATATGAATACTACTACAGAAGTAGAAGATGGAACTAAAATCCTCCTTATTATTGTCGAACTCTCATCCGATCCGATGTTGCTTAGATCATGGACAGCATGTAATCACGAAAAACCTCAAGCATCTTAGAAAACGTGACGATTCCGACCACAGCACAGTCGTCTTCGATGACCCAAACGTAGTTAACGCGGTGCGCGATGGCCTGAATCATCACGGCAACCAGAGAACTGCCGGCGTGGCAGACCGTAGCCTCTGATCGGCTAACCATCCTGGCGGAATAGCTGCCGGAACGACCCAGTCGGCCTAACCTCGACTGATGATTTGTTGTCGGGGAAGGCAACTCCTCGTCGGACGAGGAGGAGCTGAAGGGGGTGACGTCGGAGGAGGAACTGATACAGAATTCCTCCAACATTCCCTCCAGATTCCTCTCCTTCAACCTCGCTCTCACCACCCTCACGATGTCCTCCGGCGGGCCGCCGCAGTCTATGTACGCCATGAGGTCGCCGGCGGAGAGGGTGGTGATTGCAGCCGCCACGGTCTCGTCGCAGCAGGCGAGGGTGAAAGGGGAGATCTCTCCGATCAGAATGCCGTCGTCGTCCACGATGGCCACCGACGTCTGATCAGCCAGGGAGAGCGAGATGGCTTCCACGGCGGACGACGCCGGCGAGTGGTACCCGATGGCTAAGAATTCGTCGCTGATGATTCCCAGGGAGTGGACGGAGACGGTGGAAAGCGAGGAGAAAAGGCCGATGGAGCTCAGAAGATATCTCATAACATCTTCTTGTGTCAACCAACAGAATTCCTGGCCGTTGTGAATGGCGGTGGAAGACGGCTTCTGCAGCAATTTCCTCCGTGAAATTCTGGTCTCTATAGGGACCACAAGATTCTGAGCACCTTGGAGAATCAGATCAATGGCTTCCAGTAAGCTGCAAACAAAACAGGGCACCTCAATTTTTAATCACTTTCCACTTAATAGAAAGAGAAACCCATTATAGTGAAGATATCAGAAATCGAATCTTTCTGCATTTGGACATAATTATGGACCCAACATACAAAAAACCCAAAAGTAGGCATTAAATTTTGCAAACTCGGAAAAAGTAAGTGAAAAAAAAAACAGAGAGAATATCAACTCCAATATTAAAAATTCAGATTCAATTCCCAGATCTGCAAGCTTCAATTCAATTCCGATCCCCCCAGGTTTCCCACTTGTAGAATTTCGAAGATGGCGATGTTAACGAAGCTAGATTAATCAACGAAATGAACAGTAGTTATACAAGATTGGGACTTTTGACAAGAAAGGAATCTGTTCCTTAATTCAAATAAATTCTTATGAAGAAGACGACACAGAAGAAAACGATATTATATAATGATTCAACCGCAGTGAAAATGGTGGGACAGAATTGAGAATTCTCAGAAGTAGCAGAGAGAGGGTAATATACTAATATCTGTTACCTTGAAGAGGGTTCCACGTGCCTAACCAGGCCTTGAGATTTTGACAGCAAAACAGTGAGAGGAGCTTTGAGAGCTGAAGAGGGAGAAGAAAGATTCTCTTCCCTGCAAAGATAACAAATTACATCCACCATGCAGATTTTCCCAATGCAGAGGCAATCAACATCATCATCGCCATTAAAGCTGCTGTTCCTACTGGACTTGGAGTGATCGCAGTTCCACACGCTTATGGCGCTTCCTTCCGAGCTTCTAAGAACCGACAAGGCGTCGCCGACGGTGGCGGAGACGGAGAGGGACCTCAGCGGCGGCTTGCCCAGACAGAGCTCGGAAACTTCATGAGCCAACAACAAATCTGCCATGCAAGTTAAGAAAAATCCTGGGATTCAGAAATTCTTTATGGGATTGAGAAGAAGCAGAAGAAGAAGAAGAAGATAGAAAGAAAAGAAGTTAAGTGTATTGGTGAAGTACAATGTTATTTATAAGGTGAAAGAACACAAAGTTGGTACCAATATACAGTAAGGATTCCAACAACAAACTACCCCACACTCTCTATCACATGGGCCGCCTCCAAAATTTGTACACTAATATCGACCAACAATTTTATCTCCACGGACACTTTTCATATACTCAAATTAAAAACATAAATAGACCGCTTTAATTAATCAACTTAATTAGCGCAAATAGCTATATATGCAGTCTCCTTTTAAAAAATCAATATGATTAGTGTTTTGTCCTTTAATTAGACTAACTCAATGCGAACATGATTTACTCGAATTTAAAATTTCCTTATAATTAGAATTTACTCAAAAGAATTCATGGTCTAACAAAAAAATAGACTGCTTTCTTTAGCAGTCAATTTGTAATGTTGTAATTAGTACAATTTATTAGACTAATTTGTTTTCCATTTTTGTTTGAATCCTAACATTATTAGCACTTACTGCCTCAGTCTAAAAATTTATTCTCCTTAATATATCCCAAAAATTTGTGTCGTTTCATAAAAATACAATAATATTTATAATTTCTCTACAAAAGAAAATATATTACATTTATTATGAGCATAAAAAAAAAGAAAAAATTTTACTACGCATTTATTTTGTACTAAAATGAAGATTTATCCCTTAATCAATACAACAAATATACTCTCCTAAATTTGTGTGAAACCGTCACATGGATCTTTAACCGTTAAGTCAAGTCAAGATGAAATGTAATATGCATACTAACAAAATTAAGAATAAAACGTTTATTACTTATATGGAGAAATGTAATACTTTAAGAAAAAATGTAATACTTTTACATTTTGATGTAAAAGTATTACATTTTTCTTCAAAAGTATTACATTTTCCTTTATAAGTGCATTATTACTTATAAAGAAAAATATAATACTTTTAATGAAAAATTTAATACTTTTACATAAAAATATAAAAGTATTACATTTATCCTCAAAAGTTTTATGTTTTCCCTAATAAGAAACAAACATTTTATTCATGATTTAGTACTACAAACAATTGTCCACTTACATTTCATTCATGATTTAGTACTAAAAAGAAATGTTCATTGACGAAAAGTCAATACGAGAATGAAATAGTACTACAAACAAATGTTCACTGACGAAAAGTCAATACGTGCCCCCACTGAGAGGTGAACTCATAACGTCGTATATGAAGAGTTATTCCACACTATTTGACCACAAGGTGTTTAGCCATAATTACATACTCAGCTTTGATTCAATACAATTTGTTGTTTTAGCTTCAAAATCGGAATAATACATAGTTTTAATCTTGACCTTCTACTTAATAGACAACTTGTCGTCGTCTAGATCTAGGAGGAGGCCAACTCATTGCCTAGACCCGGACCATTATGGCAGTGGAGAGGGCTAATTAATTATTCTATAGACCCAGGTTCTTCGGTGGATCGGGTCACCTAGATGTAAATGTTTACAATTTACATACTAAATATTCACAATTTAATTTTTAAAAATTCACAATTTGTATATTATGAATACACAATATTAACATATATGTGATTGATTATCTTGTTTTGTATTCACAAGTTCATTTCAAATATTGCAATCACACAATATTAACAGATTAGAATTTGATGATTCCATATTGTATTCACAAATTCCCTTCTGTAATTGTTATGTGTTTTGACTTAGAAACACAATTTATATTCTAGAAGTTCACAATTTCATACTAAAAATATACAATTTATACGTCGTTTAGAACCAGTTGCAGGGTGGACCCTAGTCCATGGTATAACAACTCGTGGAGAGGGATACTAGCGACACGAGTTAATATCTCCAATGGTCTTCCGAGTATTAGCTATTTACCAGTTGTGGTCATCTAAGTTTTAAATGACCTCCAATAGTCCTTCATGTTTTAAAAAATAACCACACGTGGTCCTTTTAGGACGTCTCGTGGTCATTTTAAACTCGTTTTTTTTTTTTTTTAAGAATTAGGATGACGGGTGGTTATGTTTTAAAACATGGAGGACCATTTAAAACTCGAATGACCACCACTGGTAAATCGCTAATACTTGGAGGACCATTGGAGGTATTAACTCCTAGCGACACTCACCAGAAGTTATCTTTCTTTTCTTTTTAAATTTTTAAATATTTTTATTTTTGTATTTGTAATAATAATAATAATTGTTGGCTTTCAAATATTTGAGCAATTTACCGGTGGTCCAACACAATCGGTCGAATGAAAAAAAAAAAAAAAAAAAAAAAGAATTTAACGTGAAAATGGAAAGGTAAAATCTACGGACCTTTTTGGGCATTGTCAGGCAAAAGAATTAACTATTTTGCTTGTGATTTGTACATGTTGTTTTTCTGTTTCGTACATAGTGCCCCCCCTCTTCACTCTTGACCTCTTTTATAGTAGAAAATCTGTTTCGTACATAGAGATGGTGCCCCCCTTGCTCTTCACTCTTGACCTCTTTTATAGTAGAAAATAGTAGGGGATATTCATGGGTAATTAATAGGTAATTAATTGGTGGTTAGTGGGTTTTAATGGGTGATAATGGGAATTTATGAGATTTATTATGGGTAATGAACTGAAGGTTTTAATTGGGTAATGAATGAGTAATAATGGGTTAATAAAGGGTAATTAATTGAGGGTTATAATGGGATTAATGTTATAATTTAATGAGATGAGAGGTTATGAAAGAATAATTAGGGAGTCAGACCAGGACTACGTGGTCTAATGGTACCCGGGTTGGACTTCCATTTGAAAGATTATGAGCTTTCAAAAAAATAATAATAATAATAATAAAATTAGGGAGTCAGGCTAATTGATCATATCTCAAGTGTTGACTGTCATGTCCGGTTGCTTGCTTGGTGGTACTGACCGAATACCCATATTGGGTATCCATCAATAATAATAATAATAATATTATTATTATTATTATTATTATGCAAAGTAAGATTCAAATCAACAAAATATCATGGTAACATCCAAATCATTAGTAACTTGATGTTAACCTATAATAACGAGTCAAAATGGCTCAATTATATTTTTTTTATAAGTTCAAATGTTGATTGGAGTTTTTTGTAATTTAATGATCTAATTTCACTTTTCAAAATAAGGGTAGATTTGACCCTTGTCCCAGAAATAGTCAATGCATTATGTATAAAGAAGAAATATAAAATTACAATGAATTCGTAGGTGTACAAAATAGTACTTACAATGTAATTTATTATATTTCACGATGTTATTTAATTTTATGATGTTATAAAGAAAATAGAAGGCCAAATTGCATGGGTATTGAACCATGGGAGTGGGTAGCAATTTAGGGTGGATTCATTTGCTTGCTTTTGAGCCTATTTCTTACCTAGCCAATAGTTATTGCGTGGATTCTAGTCCACATAGCTGTGCGAATCACGGTCTAAAAAATAATGTTGTTTTACATACTTTTATTTTTTCGCACGCACAGCTATAACATACATTTTTGTAACTCATAATGTACATTATACTAAAATATAATGTACATTATTCTAAAGCATAATGCATGTACATTATTTTAAAACATAATGTACATTACCAGTAACACGTAATGTACATTATTCTAACACATAATGTACATTATTCTAACACATAATGTATATTAATTTGACTCATAATATTCACGACGGTGTTTTGAACCGTGGTCCACACTCGACACAGCTATGGTCCACACAATAATTTGCCTGCCTTACCTAGCTAGCCTTGTGTACCCATACAGGAGTGGAATTACTAGACTGTTGGAATATTGTAGATGACCAGAGTAATACCAATTATCTTAGTATCATATCATAACATATAAGATTAACTTGTATTTGGGGTAGAGCTAATAGATTGCTTAGATTATTAATGTGCTAGCTTGACTTATATACTTCAGGAGTAGCGAATCTCGTCTAGCTTGTTAGTACACTTGAGTATATAATCATGTGAGTAATTAATATCGAGTACATTATACTAGCGCAATTTCTTTAATCTTCACATGAGAAATTAAACTTGCATTTTACTTTAGTTTACCTTCTAATATTGAATTTAATAGGATCTCCACTTTTGTTGATTGAACTAGCTTCATAAGGACTCATTCAAACTAGTGCTTAATTAGCTTTTCATTTCCTGTAATTTGATACTCTTAAGATATTCATGGGGTTATAAATTTAGCTTACTTCTAATGTTATATAATCCAACCAAATTTGTCGAGTTGATGACTAGCTATAAGATTCTAAGTTCGATTCTCAGTGGGACAACATCTGATGATTTAACTTCTTTGTCATATAGGATCACAAGACGAAAAAAATCTCCAAGGATTGTTTACATTTCGTACTTATGTTGTTATTTTAGTACTTTCTCCAAATTTCCCTTTTTTCACCTTTAGTTATATGTTGTTTCTTCATCCTGTATTATAGTAATTAATATAGAGTACAAATTATAAGTTACAAAATATATAATTGTTTTTTAGTATTTGAATTATATTTTATAAGTGTGCATATATAATGCAATAATAAATGTTAATTGGTGAAAACTTAGGATAAAAGAAAATAAATGTAATAAACATAAATTGTTTTACAAAATGTCAAATTAATAAAATAATACGGAGTAACAGGGACATTATATTGAGTATACAGAGAACCAAGTCACGCACATGTATTGCATCTGGAAGCATCATGATACACATGCATGAATATATATATATATATATATATATATATATATATATATATATATATATATATATAGGGAGGAGTTCTCGTGCTGATGTGCAGTTTAATATGAGCCGTTAATCACATCTAGATCAACTGCTCTAATTAATGATTTTTTTAAAAAAAAATGCGCCTCCGGAAGGAACCAAGCAACTTAACCTTAAGCATGAAAATGACGCACCTTCAGTATACAAATCACGCACCTTAAGAACACAAACCACATATCTAAGGTTTTAAAATGGGGCACACCTTAAGTTTCAACAACTCACGCACAT